TCGATGACGCCCTGGAGGGGCCAGGGCCTAGTTCCTATTTTTGCTGAGGGAAGATCAGGTGGATTTCTGTTATAGCCAAATGAGAATGCCCAGGGCAAAGGACAACAGCAGAGCCCTCCATGACCTTGCTGGTCACTGTGTTAGCCTGTTTTCTTTCCTGTTGTCCCATAGTACCAGGTACCCCTGGATTTTATCCCAGCTTGCACCAAACTTGTACCCAGCTCCAGCTTCCCGTGCCTAGGCTCCACTCCTTGTTGCTTTCCAACTGTTTTATCAATAGCCCTTCCTGACCATCAAGCCAACAAATCCAACCACAGCTCCAACTCAGAAGAGCCTACAGGCAATTAAGCATTTGCACCTATGACTAAAGTACAACACCTTGCTTATACCCTTAGGCTGAAGGCACTAGGGACCCTATTTTCCCACCTCCCTCAGGTTCAGTCTTCCTGCATACCCTCCTCCACTGTACCTGGGCTATAAATGGTGCCACCATTGCTCCAATGCGACACAGGGAGCCGCTGGTTCCCATCCCCAGGGCCCGCATTGGTGTGGGGTAGACCTGCGCAGGAGAGACATAGAGAACACCCATCAGGGACGGCTCTTCCCAGAGTTCCCTTCTTCCCATCCCTCCCCAGGTCAGGCTTCTAGATATGTAGAGTACCAGGTAGACTTCACAACAGAAATTGCTCATTGTCTTGGTTAAACAAATTTGATTTTTAATTTTTAAAAAATATTTTAAATTACATTTATTTCTCAGGTGTGTGCACAGGTATGTGTCATGGCTCGCATGTGGAGGTCAGAGGACAACTTGCAGGAGTTGATTCTTTCCTGCCATCGTGTCCTAGTTTGCTTCTGTTACTGTGATAAAACACTGGTCAAAACCTTGGGAAGGGACAGCCACCAGCTTCCTGGGGCCAGCTTCTTTCCTGGCTAAGAGATGGAAACAACCTAAATGTCCCTCAGCTGATGAGTGGATAATGAAAATGTGGTTTATTTATACAATGGAGTTATACTCAGAAGTAAAGAAAGATGAAATTTGCAGGTAAATGGATGGAACTAGAAACTGTAATATTAAGTAAAGTAACACAGACTCAGAAAAATAAAATGACATATGTTCTCCCTCATATGTGGATCCTAGCACCAAATCCTGATAAGTGATTATGTATCCAGACATAACTGCAGGAACCAGGATAATGAAAAGGAAGCAGGGAGGTAAAGGAAAAGAAAGAACCTGAAAGAGAAGAACAGTAGGAAACAGGTGTTAATAAGGGAGACATGGATAAAAATGGGGTTATTTTAATGAAAGGGGAGGGAGGGTTATACAAGGAACCTTGGGGATAAAGGGAAAGAAAGAGCTCAAGAGATGAGAGTCCATAGGAGAAGGGTATAATTAAGGGAAAAATGGATAAACCATGGTGGAAGGGTTAGACAATGAGAGAGATAAATAATACCTAGCTAGTTTTAAACTAAAGGGAACCATATTAGTCCAACAACCTAGTGACAAATTATACATACAACCAGCTCAAGGAACATAATATATATCTAATCAAGGTTTATCTGAGAACATTTGGTTTTTGCCCAAGCTTTATCTATGTAGTACATGGTAATTAAAAGTACCAGATGGGTGGAACTAACCTTCTTCCTGTTTATCCCATCATACTTTGAGGCCTATACTAATTTGGTCAGTTGGACATAAAGGACAGTTTTTGCTCTTTGCCCTCCTAGGTCAATTAAGTTCCAATGGACTATGATCGTCTCTCAAAGTATCCTGTAACTGTGGTGAGTCAACTGTCCTCTTGAGCAAGTAGGCTGTGAAGACCCCACCAGATGGACCTGAACCAGTGTCCAGTCTACAAAGAGGAGGGTCAACACAGGAAGTGGACTAGGAAGACATGCTGAGTGGAAGCAGTGATAAGGACTGTTAAACGCTGTTCGCTTGGGGTTTTCATGTACAGTGTTGACAATAGTTCCACAATGGTCCACAGTCCTCAATAGTAGTTTGTGGAGTATTAAGCATCCAGGTTGACAGATAAATCATTATCAAAATACAATGACAAATCATCCCTTTTTAGTATTGGGGAAAGAAAAAAATGTATTGAGTAAATTTATTAGCAAGAGTTTTTTGTTTGTTTGTTTGGTCTTTTTCATGTTTTTGAGACAGGGTCTCCCTGTAGCCCCGGCTGGCCTGGAACTCACTTTGTAGACCAGGCTGGCCTTGAACTCACAGAGATCACCCTTCCTCTGCCTCCCAAATGCTGGGACTAAAAGCATGCACCACCACTCCCGACTCTAATCGTATGGTCTTAAACACCCAAAAGGAAAGTATAACCATAGATTAAAGGGATCAATATAATTCTTTAAGAGTTCATGTGTATAGGCTACATAACAAGAAACAATGACAGACAGAAGATACCTGCCTTTGAGTTATTGGCCAGACAGTAACCTAGCATAGAATTGGGAAAATGAACAGCAGACCCCAATCTTAGCTAAAGGAATGTTGGCAACTGATTGCTGCTAGATGAGGAAGAGCTGATCTTCCCAAAACAAGGAACTATAGATAGACTGACTAGATTCAGCAGATGGACTAGCACTGGATAACAGCTGGGGGCACTGATAACACAGTGGACAGTAACAGGGATGCCAAAGTATATGGGCTCCAGTTTGAGGGGGTAGTAGGGGAAGGTGCCATTTGGGATATGGGTATAAAGATGAAGAAGATTGTTTGGGATGCTATGTTTGAAAAACACACAGGGGCTGGAGAGATGGCTCAGTGGTTAAGAGCACTGACTGCTCTTGCAGAGGACCTGGGTTCAATTCCCAGCACCCACATGGCAGCTACCAACCATCCTTAACTCCAGTTCCAGGGGAATCCGAAGCCCTCTTCCGACCTCCGAGGCATTGCATGACACAAGTCCACTCACATACATGCAGGCAATACACTCAAACACATAAAATTAAAAATTTTAATTTTAA